GTTTAATAAACTGTAACCAAATTTATTAGAATTTAATTGACCCTCAAAATTTATAGTTGCAAGCTAATTATTCGGCAATTAAATTCAGCAATTAAATTACTTATTATTTTTTTACTTAAACGTTTATTAAATAAAGGGATATTAAATACAAAATTAAAATTTCTTAAAGCTATAAGCTATCATTTATTAATTAGTGTTACAGTATAAGAAATTCACAATGATAACTAATCATTTGCAGTTTTTTATCTCATAAATAATATTATATTAAAATAACTTTTGGAAGTCGAGAGACATTTTAAAAATAATAAATTAAATTTCCTTTTAAAATACATTATACAGTAGTAGAGTATATATATTTTTAAACTAATAATAATAAATATCTACCGTTCCCCTCATCGATAGGTGGGTCCCTGTGAGGGCATTAGTATTGGCGACGACGTAATGATGTCTCGATACCTACTTCACAGAGTGGCTGAAGACCTTCACATTGGCGTAACCTTTGACCCGAAACCCGTACCCAACTGGTTGGGCGCCGGCGCTCACATGAATTTCAGTACAGAGAAAATGCGTGCAAAGGGAGGGCTGACGGAGATAGAGAGGGCTATCGAAAAGCTGAGCAAAAGGCATGAGAAACACCTGTCCCTCTATGACCCCCGCGGAGGCGCCGACAATATTAGGCGACTAACCGCAACGGGGTCTCTGTTTTATGCGTCGGATATGAATCAGTTCTCGTCAGGTGTGGCCAAACGTGGGGCCAGTATTCGCATACCTAAACGGGTGGCACAGGAGGGTAGGGGTTATATGGAGGACAGGCGACCCGCGTCTAACTGCGACCCATATATGGTGGCCGAGGCTCTGGTCCGCACCTGTCTATTGAATGAGTGATTGTTATTTAGTTTTGTTTTATAATTGTGTTTAAAATTGTTTGTTTTGATAGTTATTATTAACTATAATGTTTTTCAAGTATGAAAAAGGTTCTTGTATTTCGCAATATTTTCTAATTTTAAATAAATAATTTTACATTCATTAAATTATTGTATAATAGCTTCCGGTAGTAATCATTCATATGAATTTTATGTTATAAATAAATTTAAATAATATTAAATAGTATTTATCGCATACTAAGCGTAAGGTTATCAGTGTGCAAGTAATCATTAGTACTGTAAAAGTAGTCAAAGTTGTTATTAAATGGTAATTGTACTGGCACAATTGTCATAAACTTATAGTGCAACTGTCATATTGGTACTCGAGTTTGTGATAAATGTGATGATATCGGTGCACATAATAAAACTACCAGGGCGACCCTGATTACTTACAAATTGGCTCCAAAAAAAGTTAGTCAATATATTTTTATTTGTATGCAAATTAATTAACTAATTTTCATGAGTTAATAATTTTAAAACATTTTAAAACGTTACTATTAATACATGTAATAATATTGTAAAACTGATTAATTTTAAGCATCCTGGTCATAAGTGCAATAGATAATTACGAGTTATAGTGCCAGTGTAATATTGTAATCAAAATAATAAATCACTTTTATTTGTTACTAATTACTCGCAACTGATTTATTGATAACGCATTTCTGAATGTATATAAACTCAGAGTCTAATCAACTATAAGTCAAAAAAGTTTTTATTACTTAAAAAACTTTAATAATAAATTATTATTAATAATCATTCACCCAATAATTATGAGTTCCCAATCGGCACCGTTAACTTCAACGCCGGCATTCCTGGCCCGGTATCTATCACTCGCTCAACCGGCCGACAAAATACAGGTGACGTACGTGTTCTCGCACCCGGCTAAAGATGGTCTTGAGCATTTATGCAACAAGAGCAGGGTCATCGACTTTGTGCCTAAACAGGCCTCAGACCTACCCGTATGGGACTGCGGGTTAGTCACCGACACCGTCACCGAAATGGTGTTACGACCCGTACGGCTATACAACGACCCCTTCCGCGGGGGTAATAATAAGCTGGTATTGTGTGACACCCCCTGACCCCCGACATGACACCTATGATTAGTAATCATAGGCAGTCATGCCGGGAGGCCATGGAAGCGGCTAAGGGTGAGCACCCGTGGTTTGCGTTGGAACAGGAGTATCTGCTTCTTGATGCCAGCGATAACTGGCCCCTGGGGTGGCCTAAGGGCGGGTATCCCGAGAGTATATCGTCCCCTAACGTCCACTACCTCTATGGCGTCGGTGCGAACATACAGTGCGGTCGCGATGTAATGGAAGCCCACTTCAGGGCCTGTCTGTACGCCGGGGTTAATATTAGCGGTGAAAATGCTGAGGCGATAACTGGCCAATGGGAGTACCAGGTACATATTTTTTAGTGAATTAATAAGCTTTAAATTATAATAGTTTATATTCATTAATAGACTGTAAAGTATTTATAAAATTTATTTCGTCAACAAGTTTCATAGCATCTAGATTAGTTATGGGATAACTGAGCGCCAGGTTTTAAAAATATATTATAATTTTTAAATACAATATATTTAATGTTTTATATAGAGTGAATAGCAGTTTTGATATTTTAGATAAGTTTTAATTAATTTCTAATAAGGTATTAAAAAGTATTTTTAAAATCTTATTAGAAACTGTAAACAATATTTTCACATTATATTGAAGACATAAATAGAAAACTTTTAAAAATACATATGGGCAATTTGTGACCTGTATAATTTTTAATTTTTACAATCATAACTAAAACCAGCATGCATCCTAATTATTGTGTGAAAGTATAACATATTTGAATTTAATACAAACACTAATCAATATGCAAATTACAGAAATATAATTAATTATAGATCAATACCTCTAAATACATACCATTCCCCTCATTAATAGGTGGGCCCGTGTGAGGGTATCTGCATCGGCGACGACGTACTCATGTCTCGATACCTACTGCACAGAGTGGCCGAAGACCTACGCATTGCCGTAACCTTTGACCCGAAACCCATACCCAATACGCCGGGCTCTGGCGCTCACATGAACTTCAGTACAGAGAAAATGCGTGCAAAGGGAGGGCTGCGTGAGATTGAGAGGGCTATCGAAAAGCTTAGTAAAAGGCATGCGAAACATCTCGCCCTCTATGACCCCCACGAGGGCGCCGATAACGCCCGGCGCCTAATTGGGTCCCAATTTTACGGGTCGGATATGAATACGTTTACGTCAGGTGTGGGCAATCGCGGGGCCAGTATTCGCATACCTAAACGGGTGGCACAGGAGGGCAGAGGTTATATGGAGGACAGGCGACCGGCAGCTAATTGCGACCCCTATATGGTGGCCGAGGCTCTCGNTGGAGGATAAATAATACAATACTTTTACAGCAATTATTACTCAATTCAAACATATGTTTAGACAAATTATTTGATAACATTCATTTGATTTGTATTTTTGATGTTTTGTTTAATTCATATCGAAATCATGTAATTTATAATTTGATATATGATTTAATTTTCACTACGATTTCTTAAGTAATTATAATCTTTGTCAATTTTTAATAATTAATATATTTAACAGTTACAGTAAACTTAAACTGATCATTCAATAATATAGTACCGGTATTTTAAAAATGAATATATTTGTAGTAAACAGCATCTAATTATGTTTTTAGTTCACATTTTGTGTAAATCATAGCTAATTGTGAGCACCGGTAGACTATTCATATTGCGATATAGGTTTCATTTACGGCCAATTTGTGTGAATAGGTGTTTCCCGTCCCCACCAACCCATGCAATACTTGTGCACAGCTTTGGACTTGAGGTGAATGTCAGTGACGGTTATGTCAGATATCCATCAGATTTATAATAATTTCATAATTAAAACAATTTGAGTCATCAATTTCAAATTAAATACGAATTCAAAACACTATTTCTCTCGAAATTAGTGAACATTCCCTCAAAGTATTTGCCTATCGATTCAACGGAAAGTCTCATTGATTACAAGTTTTACTCAAAGATCAGTGGATGTCTACCGAGACTCCAATACCTATCCATTAATCCGACAGTTATTAGCGATCAGGCGTTAAACACGTTGTCTGTGTTCACGAAAATACAGACCATTCGTCTCAATGGTA